TCCTAACATCACTGAAGAGACATTAATTGTCGAAATCCGGATATGGTGTACAAAAACCTTTGCACCTTTTGTTTGCGGTATATCATCTTTTCCGCCAGTTTATTGTTTTCTGTTTAGTATGCAATTTATAATTAAGATCCATTTATTACATCGGTGATCCGTTTATTTGGCAATCGCCAATGGCAGTCAGCAGGGTTTAAGAACATTTGTTGTTCGACCTGTTAGTCTAATGCGTTTTGTTAAAATATACTTTTTCACTTTTTTTGGTCTTCTGGAAAATGTTGTTTGTGCTGTATTTAGACCCCTCTAACAAGAAATTTGTTTTGCATGCACACGTATAAAAATTGCGGTTTTTATCCAACGCAATCATAGGTTTGAACGTTGTTTTCAATTTAGACTTGTTTATATATATATATATCTATCTATATATATATATATATATAGTTAAACAATACTGATATCTAATGGGCATATATATTGTATGGTTGTCACTTGTTTAGAATTGTTTGTATGATATACTTATCTCTAGTGACTGTATAATGAATTGAATCATTATCCCATGGTTAATAAAAGTTTTTGAGGTAGATTGCTGACAAATGAAATAAAAATACATTGTGTATAACAAAACTAGAGGCTCTAAAGAGCCTGTTTCGCTCACCCTGGTCTATATGCATATTCAACAAAGGACACTCTCCAACATTGTAGACGAGAATAGAATTAATGATAAAAAAATTTTTTTTTTTTATCTTATATTGCTGATCATTAAAGTCTGTTTAGTTTCTCACTATCTTATTTAGATTTGGTCCAAACACAAAAGAGGGTAAAGAAAAATCCTAATTTAAGGGCAACAATTCCTATAAAGAGTAACAGTATATACTAATTATATCGGCAAAATTTGACTTGTTAGTAGGTCTTGTCTTGCTTATCATTTTTGATTATTTAAGTTTCTATCTATCTATTATAATTTTTATCATATAAGGCAAAACGCAAAAAATATTGTAAAAATCGTCATTAAAGGGCAAGAACTCCAATAAGGAGTCGGACAATTTCCGCCATTTGTCTTAATTGTAGATCTTGTCTTGCTGCTCATTTTTGTTCATTTAAGTTTCTTTCTATCTATTATAAGTTTTAAGATATAAGACAAAAACGCAAAAAAAAATTGTACGAATCGTCATCAAAGGGCAATAAGGAGTCAACTGACGATTTCAACCATAAGACTTATTTGTAGAACTTGTCCTTCTGATAATTTTTGCATTTTAAAGTTTCTCCCTATCTATTATAGTTTTCACGATAATAGGCAAAAATGAAAAAAAGTGGTAAAATTTGTCCTTTAAGGGCAATTACTCCTACAGGAAATCGTCTGACAGTTTTGACTTATATGGAAAATTGGTAGAGCTCAATATTCTGATCAATTTTACCCTTTTCAGATTTCCTCTATTTTTAACGGTTATCAGAATAATAGACATAACTTGTATTTTACCCCATATATTCTATTTATAGCCACGTCGTCCATCTTTGTTGGCAGGCGGGGTCATCGGACACATTTTTTAAAACTAAATACCCTAATGATGACTGTGGCCAAGTTTGATTCTATTTGGCCCAGTGGTTTCAGAGGAGATTTTTGTAAAAGATTGCAAAAATTTACGAAAAATTGTTAAAAGTTGACTATAAAAGGCAATAACTCCTTAAGGGGTCAATTGACAATTTAGGTCATGTTAATTTATTTGTAGATCTTACTTTGCTGAACATTATTGCTGTTTACAGTTTATCTATCTCTATAAAAATATTCAAGATAATAACCAAAAACTGCAAAATTTCCTTAAAATTACCAATTCAGGGGCAGCAACCCAACAACGGGTTGTCTGATTCTTCTGAAAATTTCAGGGTAAATAGAACCTAACCTAATGAATATTTTAAGATTTGCTCTAAATGCTTTAGTTTCAGAGATATAAGCCAAAAACTGCATTTATGTTCTATTTTTAGCCATGTCGGCCATGTTGGCTGGTAAGCGGGGTCATCGGACACATTTTTTAAACTAAATACCCTAATGATGATTGTGGCTAAGTTTGGTTAAATTTGTCTCAGTAGTTTCAGAGTATCAGATTTTTGTAAAAGATTACAAAAATTTACGAAAAATTGTTAAGAATTGACTATAAAGGGCAATAACTCCTTAAGGGGGTCAATTGACCATTTTTGTCATGTTTGACTTACTTGTAGATCTTACTTTGCTGTACATTATTGCTGTTTACAGTTTATCTCTATCTATAATAATATTGAAGACAATAACCAAAAACTGCAAAATGTCCTTTAAATTACCAATTTAGGGCAGCAACCCAACAACAGGTCTGATTTGTCTGAAAATTACAGGGCAGATAGATCTTGACCCGATGAACAATTTTACCCTGTCAGAAATGGAAAGATAATGTGAGTAAAAATTCAAGTCTACATTTGTCTTCTTATGAACAGACCAAACCAGCTCGACCAGTGAAGTGTGAATTTTCTTCAAATAATTTTCAGATAGAATCATCAATCCCCATCCTTTCATTAGATACAATCACTTGTTTAAAACATAACTGTTTTCAATGTGTGTTATACCACAAAGAAATACAAATTAATTTGGTTAAGAATATGAAAAATACTTAAATTTGAAGATCTTTTAAATTAATGTAATTATATTAATATTTGGAATATAATATAAACAATACTTTACACAAAGAATATTTCATCTAATGTACATTTATATGAAAGATGAAGCAAAAATCCCAAAGTTCAATTATTGCCTGAAATGATGTTTGACAATAAGTTTAATAATCATCATATTTCAGGACCTTAAAATATCAGTCAATAACTTAATGCCTAGGCGTTAGCTTATTGGCTAGGATTTAAGCTTAATGCCTAATTTTACTTATTGCCGCTAACATATATATATAATCTATATAGTTAATGTTACTTTCATATATATTATTTTTATATTTCATATCTTAATACAGTTTCTCAATTAGCTAGAGCAATTAATTTATAGATAATGCACATTTAAAAGTTTTTCTTGTCGTATAACACACCGATGGTTGTCAGGATTGATCAAATGAAAGACCGACCATAGGCAATCCTGATCCCATGAGGTGTGTTATACGACAATAACACCCTTAAAATATGAATTATGTGACTTATATACCGTCAAAAATATTATTTTATGCAAAGATTCCTATTTTACCATATTGAAGTGCTATATTCTTTTCTTTTGTGTTAAGGCAAAAGCACGCCCTACGGCTTATTTTAAATGTGAAATTAAACAAACTAATTAATCGAAATATAAACGTTAGAAATCACTGTTAAGTTACGATATAAATGTCACAGTTGTTGCATGAAGAAAGAAGGAAATGAATTGTTAAGATGTACGAAAAATACAAGTCACTTTGTAAGTAATTTATCATATAAGCTTTATAATGATTTAAGCTTTATAAAGCAGGTGCTATATTTTTTTCTTGTGTTTCACGACATTTTTATCAAGGAATAATAGCTTTCTCTCTTATGTCTGGCAATACAATTTTTGTCTTCAAAAATTGAGAATTGGGGTCATATTTCACAAGCCCTCCTTTAAAGAACGTTTCATCCCAGCAGGCACAGCAACGTTGATTCAACATTGAATAAACGTCAGATTTCAACGTTGAATCAATGTTGAAAAGTAGTGTTGGATTGAAAATTGATATGACGTTGAAAACGTAACGTTGATTCAACGTCAGCTTCCAACGTTGAAAATAGGTTGAATTTTGGTCTAAAGGAGTAGGTCCGGTAAGGGCCGATTTTGGCCTCAAATTTCAGGTTCATCTGACGAAAGATTTTGGACACTTTTTAAACACTTAACTGTCGATTTCAGTCGATTCAATTAGTTTATGTGAAAAATTTTAACTGATTTGGTCATTAAAAACGCTCCGATTTAAGCTTAGATATGAAAGATCTATCAAATATGACGAAAAATGGCACTTTTCAGATGGTTTTTGTCAAAAATGAAAGTGGCCGCATCCGTGTTCATCCTCAACCTTTATATATGTTATGTATTATCATCAAATACAACTTACATTTCAATATTAAGAATCAACACAAATGCGGCCACTTTCATTTAAGACGGAAACCGTCTAAAATTTAACTAAAATGCTAAATTTGTGAAGATTTCAGTAATTTAGCATGACTTGATGATTCTAGTACCCAATATATGTGCATTGAATTGTCAAAAACAGCCCATATTTATGTAGCAGAAGCATTATACTTTCCATTAAATAACTAAAAGTTTACATTTTAACAATTTTGTAAAACTGCTATATTTTGGGGCCAAAAAGGGGTCTTACTGGACCTACTCCTTTGGTCGGTGTATGTTGAAAACAAGTCGATTGCTGGTTGAATTTTGGTCAATGAAAGTTGAAAACAAGTCGAATGTTGGTTGTACTGTGGTCAGTGTATGTTGAAATCAGGTCGAATGTTGGTTGAACTGTGGTCAGCGTGTGTTGAAAATAGGTGGGATTTGGGCCAAGGTAGACTGTTTTAGGGTTGATGTAAGTTGAAACTCGAAATGTGGTAAATGTTGAGAAGAGGATGTTGAACATTGGTTATATTGAGGTTTGTTAACAGCTGAAATCATTACCCCTTATTATATCCAACAATGCCATTTCATGTGTAATAAAACTTTCGCAACACTATATGTACTAAGTGGGCGTAGTCATGTGTGGGTGGTTGATGTACATGTAGTCTGTTGCATAGTTCATTATTTATGTAATTGAGATTTCTGCCTGTTCGAATATTTCCCTTTTTATATTTTTCTACAATTTATGATTAAATGGGAAATAAGTCATTCCCTTTGTTTCGGTAATACTGAAAAGGAGACCACTCACTTCTGATTCTGGTATTTATAATACAAGACTTGACAAGAAGAACATGCAGGCACAACTTGTTAACCTTACCAGGCATAGATAATTTGAAACTTTATTGTTGTGTCATACACAAAATATGTTTGTGACATAAAACAGTAATTATATAACAAGTTGCTCACATATGCATCTTACAATTTCAAACAAACACAAACTGAATACTTAATTTTATTTAAAACAATTAGTCCTTCTGCTAGACACATTCCCAGATATTTCAGGGGCATATTTTAGGCATCTTGCACAGTAGTTCCATATTGTGGTCTCTGTTGCACATTCTTAACTACAACATCTGCAACAGAAAAAAACATATTGTACTATCTTTATCATAATTTGGTTAATATTATTATGCAGCTCAAATAAAGAACACTACTGTCATATGTGAACAAATAATCTCTGCAATGCTATTGTTATTTCTTTAAAAAATTATCGAGAGCGACCATGTGTTTTTTTTTAAACTTGAGTTCAGATAGTAAAAAATAAATATTTTTAATAAAAAAAAAACTATACTAGATTTTAGTAGATAAAGATGCTAAAGCACATTTAAAAGAAATTGTGACAAAATCTCACACACTTTTAATGTGGAAAAACAATGGTATCTATTTCAATACTCACCCCTTATTATTTCAAACAAGCTTGAACCACCAAAGACATGTTTATTCTTTTTACCCAATATGTATTTTTCAGACATGGGTTTATTGGTAAGACGTCATCTTAAAAAAAAAACACTTTTAAGTGCAGCATTTCCAAATTGTCAACTCCTGCTCTAGTCTTGCTTCAGTGATTCCTTATATAATCAACCATTTTTTTTACCTCAAAAGGGGTACCGGCACCGTACCTAACTCGGCCTCTGGGAATCAAGGGCTTTATAATTAATTCTAATCCTAAATCATAGTTTGGAGACCTCACAATAAGCTAATGGGTTTTCATTCTTTTTTATTTTGACAGTCACTCATCTTGAGATACAATAAGGCTCCTCAAGCACCGAGATCTTGACACTCACTCATCTTGAGAAACAATAATGCACTACAAGCACCATGATCTTGACAGTCACTCATCTTGAGAAACAATAATGCATCACAAGCACCAAGATCTTGACAGTCACTCATCTTGAGAAACAATAATGCACCACAAACACCGAGATTTTGACAGTCACTCATCTTGAGATACAAAAATGCCCCACAAGCACCGAGATCTTGACAGTCACTCATCTTGAGATACAATGAAGCCCCTCAAGCACCGAGATCTTGACACTCACTCATCTTGAGATACAATGAAGCCCCTCAAGCACCGAGATCTTGACAGTCACTCATCTTGAGATACAATAAGGCCCCTTAAGCACCGAGATCTTGACACTCACTCATCTTGAGAAACAATAATGCACCATAAGCACCAAGATCTAGACAGTCACTCATATTGAAAAACAATAATGCACCACAAGCACCGAGATCTTGACAGTCACTCATCTTGAGATAAAATAATGCCCCCCAAGCACCGATATCTTGACAGTCACTCATCTTGAGAAACAATAATGCACCACAAGCACCAAGATCTTGACAGTCACTCATCTTGAGAAACAATTATGCACCACAAGCACCGAAATCTTGACAGTCACTCATCATAAGTTACAATAATGCACCGCAAGCAGCGAGATCTTGACACTCACACCTCTTAAGATACAATAATGCCCAACAAGCACCGAGATCTTTACAGCAACTCCAATTGTTATTATAAAACACCAATAAAACAACGCATCCTATATTGCGTGATATAATCCCTATACTTTTTGAGTGTTTCGGCAGATAAAGCTTTTGATGGCCATCTTAAGATGCTTTTACTTTAATATAATTCAAAATAAATATTATTCACGTATAATTAATTATATTGATACATGTCATTTTATAAGTAAATTCTTCATCAATAGATACATTCGGCATGGTTGCTTAACATGAAGTAGTTCAACTTTGAAACTTTGTTAACATTCCTCTTCAAACTGCAATAAATTCCAGTGTTTCGTGATACGTCTTATTTAATTTTACGTATTCATTCATATGGGTTATGTTTAGATATTAAAACTAAAGGAATATTTACAATTTCCTTGAATTTTTTGTGCTGTAATAATTCAATGCGGTCAATTGATCAGGCATTTATTTCGACGTTCTCATATACCAGAGACATATATACCTACATATACCCACTTTGAAATTGGCCAGATTGTGTATTAATTTGTTACGGTCACACATGTTTCTTATCTGCCGTATTGCTTCACTTATACCATGATTAATAAATCCTCGGAATACATGCTGTGAGTGAAATCTATTCTGATCTAGAGAAAAGAATGTGTTTGTTTTAAATGTGTTTCAAGGTCAAGAATGCCATGTGTTGTAAATCTTTGACTTTTGATTACATCAACATATAAAAGAGCGAGTTTGAGATCACATAGGTGAATTTCAATATTAATTGGTTATAATTATTTGCCAGATAAATAAATTCTGCAATTTCATCCGATTTTCCATGATATTTAAAAAGTCCACCCTCCCTGTATCTGCAATGTGCAATGATAGAATACTTTGCCAAACGCTTTTGTTTTTTACCAAATAATTGTTCATATATAACCACCCCCCTTTTTTTCAAGTTTATACATTATAAGTTGCCTCACCCAATTAATTGTACAAATATATCTTAAGATTAAGGTGTTCCCCGAGGCTTCAAAAAATTGTATCTTATCTGCTGGATTATGACAACTACGTGTATAATTATAAACTATATCCGATAGATCTGCTTAAATCACTATACTCATACTTGCGGGGACAGCGAATAATTACAGCTACAATACTGTTTACATTAAATTATCATATAACTATTAAAAAAGCAAATTATAAATGAAAATTATACTTACTTTGCACTGCTTAGAGCAACTGTTAACTTGTCGTGGTAATCAAATTGGCGCAAATAAATTCGAAATGTCGGCCTCATACGCATGCGCCAATCGGAAAAAGAAATCCGTTTCGCGTTATTAAAATATTGAATCGCAATTTGAAGATTAATTTATATATGCAACAGTAATCATTGAATTGATTCAAAAACATCAGTAAACCAATATAAATAAAAAGTGATTATTTAAGCAAAAAGGACTATATAAAGTTGGTTCAATCTCATCTTAAATGAAATTTCGGTCGACATTAAAGTCATCAACCTTAAATAAATCTTTTTTCAACGTTATATTTTCAACTAATTAAGCATTTAAAGCATCAACTTAAACTCAATGTTGATTCAACGTTGACAGTTCAACGTTGATATTTTTTAACCACAAATCAACGTTGATTCGACAACGTGATTTAAACGTTGATAGGATTGACGTTGATACAACGTTGATTTTACGTTGATCAACGCTACAACCAAATTTCAACATATTTTCAACGTTGGTTCAACGTTGTGTGCCTGCTGGGATTCCCCCTTATATTATTATTTTGCCATTTGATAAGGTAAACGGTATTTTTTTCAGCCTAATAAACGGAGGAAAAGATTGTTTCTGTCTACAATTTAAAAAAAATGTTCAAGATAGAAAATTGTGCAATAAAACCCAATTGGCAACAACACACGTACATTATATTCGAATTAAATTCGAATAGAATGCGAATCGAATTCGCTAATCACGTTCACACATTCTTCTTTTCTATCTTTTTTAATTCGAATCGAATTCGAATTGCATTATCCAATTCGCATTATTCAATTCCCATTAGAAATTCCTTTTCGTTGGTGCGAATAGTTAATTCGATTTAATTCGATTAAACTGTAGTATGGACACTTTACTAATTGTAATTCGAATTAATTTATAATTAATTAACTGATAATGCGAATTAAAAGTTGACGACGTTCGGACAGTAAAGCGAGTTAATCGAATTACGTGTGAACGCAGCATGAGTATGTAGGTAAAAGTAAGCTTGCTTTCTAGCTGAACCATGAAATCGTTATTAGTTTCGGTACCACCTCCCTTTGGGCGGACGATATATTTAAGTAGAGAACCAATCAAGAGTAAGGACAGTGTATAAACAGTGTGAAACCAGTTTACAAATATGTTTTCAATCTAAATTTAAAATCTATTGTCCATTATAAGCTAATTCACAATCTTGTTGTAGGTGTGTTTGATTTGTCAATTTCATTTTAATCAAAAACAATACAATACCATTTTTATAAAAGCATGGTGAGAGGAACATCTCAAAGATAAATGACCCAAGTCATTGTTAACCAAGTTTATTGTTTCACCTGCTGTAGCAATTCCCATGTAAAAAAACACATCATAATCAAAGATATGTTTCACCTTCTGTAGCAATTCCCATGTAAAACACACATCATAATCAAAGATAATGATATCCTTACATATAGAATAAGATTTGAAAGGTTTTTTTTAATCGACTAAATCATAATGTTATATAGAATTACACATGTAAACAATCTAGGTAATTGATTTAAATGAAATTGACAAATTAAACAAACTTACAACCTGAAAATATGTTTTTGAACTAATTTGTAAAACTGGTTTCACAAGATTTATATATTGTTAATACTTTTGATTGGTTCCCTGCTAAACCATTGACTCCAACAAAATGGTCATACCATAGTTAATAATGATTTCATAGTTCAGCTAGCAAGCAAGCTAACCAAAGATAGTACCGTTTACCTACACACTCAAGTCAATATGCTCTAAATGTTTAACACTGTAGTTTGCATTTTAATCAGGGTAAATCATGACCTGACGCAGTTATTATTTTATGCCTTGATATCGTCCAGGTTGTTTCTTCAAAAGAATGACCGGTCGTTCTGAAAGGAAACAAATCCATATAGGTATATAATAACATTTATACTATTATATATATATATAACATTTTCCCATATAATTTCATATCGGTCGTATCCTAAATATGTTTGTAACTTTCGTAACATATTTTAAAAATCAGCCACACAAATTGATGAACACAAACTTCTACCTACCATGTTGTACATTGATGTCGGTAACGAGTTGACCAGTCTTTGGTTGATCCCCTCTCTGGGGTGTATATATACTTGGCAATGTTAGACCATTGCTCATTTAATTTCATATTTTTAAGCTTATCAATATAAGTGTTATATTTCGATTTTAAATTGCTAACAGTTTGGTGATTTCCAACAGAGTTTTTATAATCTGAAATTATTAGATTTTACATAAATATTAATTTATAAAAATGTAAGCAATAAGAAATACTAAAAAAAAAATGTAAGCAATAAGAAATACTAAAAGTATTTTTTTCCGTTTCTTTGTTAAGAAATATATTTTTATGTTAACTTATATTAACAATTTGTTGTTGTTGATGACCATCTGATTCTTAAAATAGTACATATTTTGTGATCAAAGATACAAGGCTTATACATAGTACGCTGGACGCAGCTTTCGCCTGCTTTAAACTCATTTGCTGTCATATTTTTTGTTTAATTAAGGAATATATCTCCCGCATGCTAAACTATCATTCCTTGTCCGGATTTGGCTATACTTTAGATGTGTACTGATTGATATATTAGTTATAGATACATGAGTTCTTTTATTAGCTATTATTGGCTTTGAACTAGCTGCTAGTAACTGCGAATACTCTGTACTTTGTGTCTTTTTTGTTGTAAGGGATATATAAGTACCCTGCTATATCCGGTCTGAGTTTTTGTTGGATTTTTTTTTTTATTTATAGAAATAAGAAGATGTGGTATGAGTGCCAATGAGACAACTCTCCATCCAAGTCACAATGTGTAAAAAGTATACAAATAAAGGTCAAAGTACGGCCTTCAACTCGGAGCCTTGTAAAGATCCGATGAGTTAAGCCAGTTTCACCTGATTTGTATAGTTTGTTCTTATGTTGTGCTGTAACACCACTATCCCAGGGGATAGGGTCGAACGCTAACAAACATGTTTAACCCCGCCACATTTTTTATGTGCCTGTCTAGGTTTAGCTAGCTATAAAACCAGGTTTAATTCACCATTTTCTATATAAGGAAATGCCTGTACCAAGTCAGGAATATAACAGTAACTGTTGTTATTCGTTTGATGTGTTTAAGCTTTTGATTTTGCAATTTTACAAAGGACTTTCCGTTTTAAATTTCCCTTGGATTTCGGTATTTTTGTTATTTTACTTTTTTTTCCAAGTCAGAAATCCTGTAGTTCAGTGGTTGTCGTTGGTTAATGTCTGTCATACTTGTTTTTCGTAGAACTGTTTTGTTATAAATTAGGTCGTTAGTTTTCTCAACTGAATTGTTTCATATTTTTCATGTCAGGGTCTTCTATAGCCGAGTATACGGCATGGGTATCGTACGGTTGCCTATGATTGCTTACATACACTTCATTTGAACTTGTGTGGATTGTTGTCTCGTTTGCAACCATACAACATCTACTTATATTTGTATTTAGGTCCTTTTTAGGTTTGATTAGCTCCCCAAAGTGTTTGATGAATTTAAGATATTCAAATAGTTTGACCTCGAGCATCATTGAAGAGACATAAATTGTCGAAATGCGCACCTGGGGCAGTGAAATTGATACTGTTTATAAAATTGAGAATGTAAATGGGGAATATGTCAAAGTGACAGCAACCGGACCAAAGAGCAGACAAAGACGAAGGCCACCAATGGGTCTTTAACGCAGCGAAAAAATCCCGCACCCGGAGATGGTCCTCAGCTGGCCCCTAAATAAAATTGTGTACTAGTTCAGTGAAAATGGACGTCACACTAAACTCCAAAACATACAAATGAACTAAACTTAAAAAACATACAAGACTAACAAAGGCCAGAGGCTCCTGACTTGGGACAGGCGCAAAAATGCGTCGGGGTTAAATATGCTTTTTGAGATCTCAACCCTCCCCCTATACCTCTAGCCAATGTAGAATAAAGAAACACATAGCAATACGCACAGTAAAACTCAGTTTAAAAGAAGTCCGAGTCCGATGTCAGAATAGGTAACAAAAGAAACTAAGCAAAATGACAATGATACATAAATGAACAAAGGACTACTAGCAGTTACTGACATGTCAGCTCCAGACCCCACTTAAACTGATTGAAAGATTATGGCTTCATCATATGAAAAACAAGTACAATCTCTCCCGTTAGGGGTTTAGTATCACACCATCATAAAATATATGAGAAGAACATAACCCGTTTCATGCCAACAACTGGTTTTAGAATAAATGTGTTTATTTCCGATGCAAAGACCCTATGCGTGAATCGATTTACTTGATAGAGGTTTTCTCCTTACAAGGAAGTGCTTCATTGTTAAGCATTCGATATTAAGAAGAAAAAGAAAGATCATTCCAGTTTGATTCAGAATAATGTGTTTGTGTATGAATTGATTTTTTTAGATATAACACCTTGTTTATCGTCTTTCATTTGAGTTTTAGAAAAATATCCACCAAAATTAGTCCCATTTAATGAGTAGTTCAAAAAGTTTTATTTGCCACTGAAGACAAAAATTCAATGAGCAAATTTAAAAAGAAGGGTCGATTGTTGCAAAAATTTGGTTTTATAATAAATATGATATCTTCTTTATTAAAAAATTCAGAAAACACGAAAGGGACAATATCCCGTTGGAATAAGTTTATAAGGTACAGCCAAACTTCCAAACCATCACTTTCATCAACATTCATTTGAGTTTCAAGGAAAATATCCGCCAAATTTGGTCCCTTTAATGAGTAATTCAAGCAGTTTTATTTGCAACTGAGCGTTAAACAGCCATCCATCATTACCATCGTTCATTCGGGGTGCATATACAGGGTAGTTTGATCATGTGGTTACATTTAGTCGTGTTTAATTTTCTAAATGCGTCAAATTCAAATTTTTGGCAAGTATATCCTTTATATGTGTAAATATCTTTTATTTTGTGGGGTTTTCCCTAGTTGATTTGATGAGTGCATGTTTCTTTCATTATTTCTCCTATCCAAGTATAATATATTGAGAATAAGTGTTTAAACATTTCCTATGGACAATAGAAAAAAATAGATATCGTGTATACCCAAGAAGACAACATCCAAAAACATACAATAAACCCAACAAGACAACTAGAAATCAATAACCTATCTTCATATAGTGTCCGTACTAAATTGCTCGATATACCTAGAACCAAGTAAAATTGAAAAGACTTAACAAATACTATATGCAATGCTTAAATTTAGTTTATTTCATTAAAAGTTTCACAACATTTCCAAAATATCAATTAAAAGTTAATAATCACAGTTTTCTATTTCATGGTATTTCAAAGTATGAAATGTGTATTCAACATCTATCTTGAACTTGCCATGCGTTTCCTAGAGCGAAAGCGTCGGATGTAATTTGATTATTTGGCATAATCATATCATCGTAACGTTCATGGTTTAGAGTACCAAGAAGTCCACCTGTTTTACCAAAGTACCACTTGCTCAAATCAATGTCGACCATATCTACGGTTGGATCGGATTTAACTTGGAATCCACGACCCTCAATGAACACCTTACCATCGACAGAGAAAACTGCAAATTCTGTTGATCTGTAAGGTAGATCCATAACTACACCATCGACACTGACCTACAAGAGAGAACGTATAATAAGGTGAATCCTTTTGTTATAATTCAAAAGCAAAAACACAATCATGTACATGCAAAATGCAAATGTCTAGTTGAGTCATACAGTTATTATTTTGTACATAAATTAGGCCGTTAGTTTTCTCGTTTGAATTGTTTTACATTTTTTATTTCGGGGCCTTTTACAGCTGACTATGCGGTATGGGCTTTGCTCATTGTTGTATGGGGACCTATACTTGTTAATGTCTGTGTCATTTGGTCTCTTGTGGAGAGTTGTCTCATTGGAAATCATACCACATCTTCTTTTTATATGCAGTGTAAACCTTACTGCCATTTTTCAATCATCACAATTTGATAATCTTTTCACTACTTATACATACATCATATTTTAATTTTCTCAATGGAGTCTTGCAAAGAATATTCTCGACATAAATTTGTGGATAAACACAAAATATTTCATGTATATTGTAAATATAAAAATTGATTAATATTCCTCATATGTAAAGAGCTATAGTTACCTTTCCATTTGGTGATAATTGAACATTTTGTTGGTGAGAAGTCAAGATCAACTTCTTCTTTTGTCTGCCCAAATAGTTCATGATGATACTGAAGTTGCCGTCTACATAGTCTCGTGCAAGAACGTAGCTACATCGCCCACTGAAGTCAAATTCTTGACCATCGAAAGTTGTAAAGTGTCGGCCATGTACTTTTGCACTTACTGTAGAAATTATATTAAATATACAATTATTCTTTATTTTTATAATAAAGAAAATAGTTTTTAAAAACATACAATTTAATAGAAAAAACATGTAATTGTATTATCATTCTATAATTTTTTTGCTAATTTTTACATGTTTGTTTAGTATGATATATAAATAACAATTCTTTAAAAAACCCTAAGTAGAAGAACGAAAACTTTGCGACTAAATACAAAAAGACAAAGAGTGTTAACAAATATCTGCACATTCAGGAATTTGCATTTTTTCGTAAAAGTCATAGTGTTACCATTAGATAAAGCCATTTTGTAGTGGAAATACTCCATTTCCAAGGGTGTACAGTGATAAGATAAAAAAATATTATGTCCTTATTTCAAAAAAAAAATTTATATATGCATTATCACAACATCCTTGTTTGTCTTCATTTTTCTTAAAAAAATTTAAACGAGGTTCTCAGTACAAAAATTCGAAAATTTATTACAAACCTGTCCAGGTCATGTGTGGCATGTAATCCTCTAAAGATCCAAAGAAATTCAGTTTTGGAGTTTGAAAGCTCATATCTGGAAAGTATTGTCTTAAAGAAATGTCTTTTAGTGAGCTGAGAGTGCGTACATCAACAGGCAGGTAAAAATCTACTATAATCTCTCCATTTGGTATATCATATTTAATAACTTTGGATTTGAGTACATTTCCGAAAACCTCTTTTAAAACAGACATCTCCTTGGTAGCATCTTTTTTCAATTCTTCAAATATTTTGTCAACTAAAGCATTTACGTTTTCTTCAAATTCCCAGTATTTGTATGCAGATGATCCCTTCAAAAGAATATGTGAATGTTATTTTACTTTAAATATCATATATATATATATATAAATGTTGTTACTTTAATATATCTTTGTATATTTAATATCTTTTTTCAGTTTTTCACTTTTGTTCAAGCAAATAATAACATTTATGCTATTAAAATTTAATTTCTTATCGGTCTTACCCCTTAATCAGTAAATAATTTTCGTAACATTTTTAAAAAATCAGCCACTCAAATCAATGAACACAAACTTATACCTACCATGTTGTACATTGGTGTCGGTAACGAGTTGACAAGTCTTTGGTTGATCCCCTCTCTGATGTTGTATATGCTTGATGTGTATTGGTTGGCAATGCTAGACCATTGCTCATTTAATTTCATATTTTTAAGCTGATCCATATAAGTGTTATATTTCGATTTTAAATTGACAACAGTTTGGTGATTTCCAACAGAGTTTTTGTAATCTGAAATTATAAGATTTTATATAAATATAAATATATATAGATGTATAAGCAAAAAAAAAATACAAAAGTTAATTTATATAGTTCCTTTGTATAAAAGACGAAACTATTTTTTCATGTGAACTTACATCAACAATGTTTTGTTGTTGATGATTTTCTGATTTTAAACACTGTGACGAGTTTATGATCAAATCTGCAATGTAAGGCTTATTACGTAGTACGCTGCACGCAGCTTTCGTCTGCTTAACTCTTATTTGCTGTTATAAAACTTTGAAATCATTTTAAACAAAGGAATATATCTCCCTCATGAAAGCTCTCATTCCTTGTCCGGATTTGGCTATACTTTACGTCCTTTACGAGTGTAATAAATTGAAGATTTTCAAATATGTTGGTCTCGAGTCTCACCGAAGAGACATTGTCGAAATGTGCATCTGGTGCAGTAAAATAGATACCGTTAATGTTATAACAAATGATTAAACTTTCTATATACAGAAATACCTAATACAATTTCCTTTTTGACTTAAAATTTATTTTGTAAGTTATCCCCTGAATTTAATTTAATAAACTGAGGTATTCAGTAGATAACAATTACCCAGTAATCTCTGATAAGAATTTGTTGTAATGCTGTTTAACTGGCCACCCATGTTGATATAAGTATCTTTGGAATAGGCATCCAGTCTCTGAAACATAAAAGTAACAGTGTAAAATAAAGCTTCTGACAATTTGCAGGTAATCCAAATAAATTTCATAAGAAAGTCGTTTTTGTGACATTTTCGAGTATACTGTGTTTAAGTTGTATACAAGTTAGTGACACATCTCCATTAATCCGGATAGGATGTGTACACGGATTCAACTGTACCCTCAGCTGTCGAGGGTGCTCCGAATAACGGAGGGATCTACGCTTATACATACGTTGACAATTTCTGATTGTTCTTACATGCAGAAAGGAATCATCTGGAGTACGAACAGATTTTCAAAGAGTTTATTTTTAATTGTGAAAAGTAAAGAAATTTAACTAATAACACCAGCCAAAAATGTTTTATCGTCTCTTTATCGTTTATACCAGGTTTTGGGGTTTCAAATAGTTTGAACACGAGCATCATTGAAGAGACATTGACGAAATGCATAGCTGGTGCAGTAAATTTGATACCGTTAAAATTATTACAAACCTGTTGTAGCTGTTCAAGACTGTTCATGTATTCACCAATTTTATGTTTGACTGGCCATCTCCCCCAAGCTTCATTACAATCTTCTGCAAATTCACTAAAACAATAAAAATAAATATGTTGTTACACTTGTGGCAGTCTTTAAGCAATTTAGTTCATCTGTATTCTTCGATACTCTAACTGCTATTTAGTCTTTAAAGTTTGGCCACAAAATTCATAAACTAAATTAAACAACTTTTTTCGAGTGAGATAAAAACGTACCCGATTCTTGTCATGGTAGTATCAACAGAATTACAAATGTCTTGAAGATAAAAGGCATTGTCTGCTTTCAATGTTCTGAGTTCAGACAGTTTGTCATTGATGGCATCAGCATATGATTTGACTTCTTCTGCATAGGAAGCTTGGAATAATCGTCTCTTGTATAATATTTCTTTGTTAATTTCATCAGAAGACGCTTCAATTGCCATACCAGATCTTATGCCATATTCTTCAATTCGTTTTGTTAGTTCAGCCTGAAAGATGTACGAACTAAATGAAGTTTGCTAATTCTTTGAATGTTTCAAAAAACAATTTTTCATAATGTTGATGGTTAATACTGCATAAACAGAAAGCAAACTGAAGCGGATGTGTATGTCCATAAGGCTTAGCTTCCACTGGAGTGGAATACCATACAAAAATGAACTGTTTCTATTTTCATTTGCAACTTTAACATTCTGGCATGGTTTGTGTCGCTCATACTTTTTTGTACGACATCATTGACTTTTCACCTGTCTTTTTTTTTTAGGTTGGTAGTGGTTTTTATGGTGTTCAATATCTTTCTTATTCTTACGGTTCCTGTTTACCCCTGTCATCTTTTTGCTCCTATCTCTATAAGACATTAACTACACTAAGGGAATGATTTATAAGACATTTCTTCATATGCAAAATTAGCCTCTGTTCCATGTTCGCTATCTATAAATAACTGATATATCTGAAAGTTGTTGAAAAAAATTACAAATATACCTTGAGATCACTGATAATTGATGGACGCCAGTGAACACGTGTATGAAGAATCTTGGATGTTTTTAATCGGAGATTAAGCAAGCTGTCTACAGTTTTCTTCTGATTTACATTTCTGTACAGTTCTGCAGATATTCCTTTCTCGTCAGAGAATTTAGCATTCACATGGAGTGTATTGTCTGGGTTTTCTGAAAATAGACAGATCAAGAATTTAAATTGAGGGAATTTTCTGTAAGAAAAGAATATAAGGTATCACTTTAAACCATTCAACTTAAAAAAAAATGATTACTCTATTTATTCAATTATTGAACGCTTATTTTTGATTTTTGCATCTAAAGTGCAACTTAATAAGGAAGGATGACTTACTGATATCATAGTTCATGTTGAAATCCAGGCTACTATCATTAGGGTCAACTGTCAGCTCTGTATTGATTGGCTTGGTATCATCATAAAGATTTTTGATTGTCAGTTTGAAAGGTGATGTCTCAACACTAGCATCCATTTTCATTGTTTTGATTGGAGAAAGAACCTGTGGTACAAAATTCAAAGATTAAAATTCGGGGTTAACTTTTCACTTGATCATTCATTGATAGTATATTCAAGTAGATTTTCAGTAAGAAGTTTCACTTCATATACGGAAACACAAACTCATAAAATAAATTTTTTTGATTAGTGTTTTTGTTTTTTTCCTTTATTCAACCAGTATGGAAGAAAATGAACAGAAACATATTCACACAATATAAGTTTATATTTATATCTTAAGTCTAACTAAGTCAATACCTGTATATTCAGTTGACGTTTGAGTTTATCAATCTCGGTTATTAAAGCGATGTTCTTTGTTTGACGTCTTGCAGTCAGGTATTGGATATCAAAACCAGCTGAGAGTTTGTCGTCAGATTTTCCGAATATTGCCTTAGTTTGAATGTCCACGGTAGTATATGGGTGACTTATACCAAGTAAGAACTTGTAATCCTCCCCACGTCCTGATACATCTTCTAATTTTGAACTCAATGTAAAAGTTTTACGTGAATCTTTTGAGTATCTGAATGCTGTACGGCCATCATAAATAACGTTTCCATATCCAATTAACATTTTGTAATCAAGTTGGATATCCTATAAAATACCAAGAACACTATTATTAAACTGCATGCAGGAGAAAATAAAATAAGAAAATAAATGAAACTGTATTTTTTTTGTAAATAAATTTCAGTGCCTTCGAGTAATTTTGATCTGTACTTAAATATTTGTGCCATAGAATAGACTGTAAATATTATATGATTAGATAACTAACAATACAGATGGTTTAAATAATTGAATCATTAGATTTGCTGCAATACAAAAGATACTAATGTAGTATCGAGTTTAAACATTCTACATTATTCTTTATATACCATATGTTCTTCAAAAGCCATTAGAATTTACCTTTTTTAATATCGTATTTTGATAACTTAAATTATTGTTTTCTTTTTTTGAAAAAAAAATAATAAATATTTTTAAATTACCTTCCCGAGACTTGGCATTTCTAAACCCAATGTAAGTTCATCTCCATTAGTTCTGGTATTTTTTGTAGTCCTCATTGCTACTCTTTTGTTTTGGTCTCTCTCTGCATCCCACGAGAAATCGAATACTTGACTGCTTATTCCATATCCTGATGATGATACAGTTGATAATACAACTGTCCTAGATGGTAGCTGTAGAGTGTATTTTTCTTGTCCGTTGTTTTCGTGTATTGTTTCAAATCCATGTGTTCTGACATCATCTTTCTCTATAAATAGAACAATTTTGGACGAATCATCAGGACGGTGATACGATGCCCCAATGGCGTAAGATTTAGACCCGCACACACCTCTATAGCTAGCAATCTGTTTCCTGTCAGACCAGTCTGAATTGTATGTAATGTCCATTCTGCACCTGCTGTCTCTATCTAGCTTGTTCCAATTTACAAGCATGTATGTTTCTGAGGAGAACAGTTTATTTATTTCAAACCTCATTAGTCTCGGTTCATTGACATTAATTATCAGTGTTATTTCCTCTCTTTTCTCAGCATCCATTTCGAAATCAACATCGTACAATGTTTCTTTGTTGATTTTCATATTTGTTGCTACTATCAAATGATTTGTTTGGCTACGCCAGTCGTATTTTACATACCCGTAAGCAGTTCGAAGAGATTCCCAAGGAGTAGACACTGACAGTGAGGAGTCTGTTTTAGTGAGAGACGCATCTATAGTTATTCCGTTGCGCTCAGTGAAAAATGCTTCAATGTGGGATTTTAATTCTCCAAGATTTTTTTCATTTTTCATGGACATTCGTATATTTCTCAAATTATTTAATCCTGTTTTAAGTGTAAGAGATCCATCTAACTCATCGAACCGGTTGCCAGTTAGGCGTGCATCAAAGTCAATTTCAGGTAGGTATGATGTCTGTATATTCAGTGCAGCATGGTATGGTTTTCTTGATGCAGATGCTTTAACCTGTGTTCTCTTATATCCTCGGATTGGTGTTTCAAGATTAATGCTGAATGAGGATAGAGTTTTTTCCATGGCAAGAGTAATCTTTTTTCCTCCATTTGCAGCATTTCCGGACAGTGAGTAGGTGTCGCCTTGCGTTTTCATGTCTGCGTTGACGGAGTATCTGCTTTGCGGTGTATTCAAGGAAATATCGATCATTTCTTGTGTTATTTTGAGGTTTCCGTTAATTAGAGGATTGTTTTCACTGAGCGTCAAATATGCAGATGATATGAGACTGGTTGCTTTCAAATCATGACGATATCTACCGTTCAAATGAGGAATTGCGGTGAGTGGAGTTTGGAGATCGACATTTAAGTACAAACTTTCTGGTCGATACATTGTGAATCTAGCATTTCCTTCCATCTTTTTGTCTGGTGCATATTGAAGACTTCCGATTGTTGTGAAAGACTTCAGAGATCCAGAATGTTCAATCTTGATATTAACATCTTTTAGTTTCTCAAATGGTGTTTGGAAGCTTAGTGAGCCCTCGATAGATGGAAGGTGTTTAAAGGATGCATCTGCTTTGATTGTCTGGTCGTCATATTTCGCCTCAATGTTTGTTTTAAAGCTTGAAATGTAACCATCATGTGAAATTCTAAGCTCAGACAGTTTAACATTTCCAGATAAAGTGGTTTTCAGTGTTGCGTCGAAGTCTACAAACATTTCTCCAAGTCTGACCCTTGTTACTTCTTCAATTGCATTCATGTTACCAATGGATGCCTTCACTGTTGTTCCGAAGGACTTCAGATTTCCGTTTACGCCATATTCTATTTTGATGTCTTCTATAATAGGTGTTAATAGCAGCATGTTCCCTTTGATTGCAATTGAGGACCACTCGTGATTGACTTCTCCTCTAACTCCTTCTTTTCCATAGCTAACAGACGATTCGTATCGGAATGCATGCAGATCTCCATTTCCGTTGATAATCACTTCAAAGTCTTCCGTTAGTGGTGTTTTTAGACACAGCTCGATTTTCAAACCAGTTGATGTATCAACTTTGCCATTAAGTTGAGTTTTATGTTTTCCAATTTGCGCGACTGCCTTTCCAGAAATGAGAGATTGCACATTTGAAAATGTCAGTGAAACCTTATTTCTTTCATATTCAGTAAAAGGTGTCTCCAACGTAATTTCAAGTCCACTAGCAATATCAAGATTTGTTTTTGCCTTGATTTCCTTGTCATTCAGGGTCAATTTGATATTTGAATGGAAATTATTCAATGTACCTTGGAGTTCGTGGGAAACAGATGCTTTCATGTTTCTGAAAGGTAATTGTATGTCGATATTCATGTCTAAACCATTAGTTAAATCAATGGAGATATCAGATGATAATGCCTTTCTGTTGTATTTGAAAAGACTGAATGATTTTAACTGTTCGTCAGACTTTGTTTGTTTCATGCTAGCTGTAACTTCATGTTGTTTTAATCCGCTGTAAGATAGTTCAGCTTGTGAATCCCAGTTGAAGTCAAATATATTTCCACTTTTTTTAATAATAACTATAATGTCATCAAAATATGGCAGTTTTAGTGTAGCTTTGCCATCAACATCTTTTCTGGTATCTGCAGAAATGTCGATAGATAGTTCCTTACCATTATAAGCTGTTTTACCGTTTGCTGCAAAATTGCGTATTTCTCCATTAAGATTGAAGTCTGCTAATAGTTCATGTTTTTCGTCACCATACTGAAGCTCAGCTTTGGTATTGAAGTTTTTGAATTCTCCATCTAAGGAAACTTCTAGTTGAATATCCTTCGATATTGGCGATTGAAGGGCCATATTTGCGGATAATTTTGAGGTAGTGTCAATGTCGACAGTTAGAGCAGTTCTTTTATTATTGTATTGAACTTCACCAGATACTTGGAATTGTCTAAGTGTGCCGCTACGTTTAAATGTCGAAACAAATTCATGTTGTTTACTTCCACTGTAGGTTGCACTTGCTTGTGATCTGAAATCAGTTGAAGTACCTTGATGGTCAAGGAAGATTTCAATATCCTCAGTTAAAGGTGTTGACATACGTCCCTTTAATTTTAACCCACGAGTAAAATCGGTTTCAACTGAAGTGGTGACTCTCTTGCCATTATACGTAGCGTCTCCCGAAAACTGGAATTTTTGTAGTGCACCAGACCCTTTAAATGTTATGACGGCTTCATGTTGTTTGGATCCACTATATGAAATGTCAGCGTGTGACTTGAAATTACTAGCAGTACCTTTATGGTCAATTATAATTTCTATGTCGTTGGTATATGGAGTTATCAAAGTGCCCTTTGTCTTGATACCTTCTGTTGAGTCGAATTGTAGTTCTGATGACACTCTCTTGGAATTATAAGATGCTTCACCTGAAGTTCTGAAATTTGTCATGTCTCCATTATGCTCAAATGCAGCATAAAGTTCGTGTTGTTTCTTTCCGCTGACGATTATTTCTCCCTTCGTATTAAAGTTCAACAGCTCCCCTCTATGGTATACTTTCAATTCGATATCTTTTGTGTATGGACTTTTGATTATAATTTTGCCTTTTATTCCTGTAGATTGCTCTAATGTTGCTTCTATTGATGCTACCTTAGTGTTGTATGACATTTCTACAAATACTCTATTGTCACGATTCTGGAGTTCAATATTGGCTTCATGCTGTTTTCTGCCGTTGTAACCAATCTCTCCATGACTGATGAAATTATGTAGAGTACCTTGATGAGAGAAAGAAACTGTTATATCATCAGTGAAGGGTGTTCTTAAAGTAACTGCTCCCTCGGGATCGTTCAAGATATCGAAATCCACATCACTCGAAATCTTTTTACTGTTGTAAGTTATTGACCCCGCAGACTGGAATTTTCTTAATTCGCCCTCAAATTTGAAAACTGTAATTACCTCATAAATTTTAGACCCTTCATATATCACATGAAATTGATTGCTAAAATCGATCAATTTACCATTGTGTGAAAATGATACACGAATGTCTTTGGTCATAGGAGTGTTCAATGAAAATGAGGATTGAACTCCATTTGTACTATCAAATGATACTGATGCAGTTACTCTCTTTGTATTGTAAACAATATTGGAGCTGGTGGAAAATTTCTTAAGTAATCCATCGTGATTAAAGGTAACAGAGATTTCATGTTGTTTGCGACCATTGTATGTAAGATCAGCTGTTGTTCGGACGCCAAAGTTGTTTCTCTGTTCATTGTTGGTGTTGAACAAAAGTGAAAATGATACTGGTTCACTTATTGGTGTTTCAATTCGCCCAGTTGCTTCAATCTTTTCTTGTATTCCATTTGGTGCGCTGAACGAGAATTTTCCAGTAACCTTTTTCTTATTGTATGCACCGTCAAAATTTGTTTTCCATGTTTTGATTGACCCTTCAACATTGAATGAAATTTCAAGTTCGTGTTGTTTCTGTCCACTGTAAGTAAGCTGGGATACGGATGTAAAGTCCACCAGTTGTCCTGTGGTCTCAGTACTAATAACTACATCACGTGAAAATGGAGATTTCAAGAAGCCGTTTATTCTGATATCTCTTACCATATCCACTGATACCTGGGCAGATCCTGTCTTGTAACCGTAACTCAATTCACCACTAGATAAGAACCGTCTTAATTCTCCTTCATGATTTAACTTAAGAGTGACATCTTCAGAGTATGGCGTTTTCAAGAAGGCCCTTGCATTGAGACCTCCAGAAGTTCTCAGTGTTAGCTGTCCTTCTGATCTCTTTCCATTTTGTACATATTCACCTGAGCATTCAAAGTCTTTCAACTGTCCAGAATGTTTGAATGAAATTTCTGCAGTACGGAACATTGCATATGGAGTCGTCAGTGTGGCTCTTCCTTGAATTCCATTTTTGCTTGTAAATTTTGCTATTCCATTGATCTTTTTGGAATTGATGTCTATGTCTGCTGTGCTCTCGAAGTCATTTAGTTGTCCTTTATGGTTAATATTCAGTTCTCCTGACCTCAAAATATCGAATGGTGTTTTCAAGTTCAGTCGAACTGAAAAGTCATCTGTAATACTAAGATTTAGATCTACTTGTGCTGATTTTCTTCCATATGCACCTTTGATGTTTGAAACACATTGTTGAAAGTTCCCGCTGTGTTCAAAGGATACTGACATGTCAGGTGTAAAGGAGGATATAAAAGTAGCTTCTCCTTTCATTCTTGGTTCCTTTTGATACGAAATTATGCTGTTAATAATATCTTTTCTTCCATATGTAATTGAAATTTGGTTTTTGAGGGATGACTCAAAACTATGCGATAACGACATCTTTACAGGTTCATATTTGGGAGTAAGAAGAGTAAGTTTTCCTTCAATTGGACCAAGACTAGAGAATGAAATGTCCAATTGACTTCTTTTCCTTTGAAGAAGTGTTTCTAATCGAGAGGCAAAATTATTAGATGTTCCTGAGTGCGAAAGTTTGGCTGTCATTTCTCCATATTCCTTGAATGGTGTCTTGATATCAACAGAAACAGTCAATCGGTCATTTGTGCTGACAGATGTATCTAGTGATATAGTTTTAGAATCAGAGTAAGTTATTTCAGCTTTAGTCTGGAAGTTGCTTAGCGGCCCAACATGGCTAAGTAACGCCTTTAGATTGCCATACCTTTTCACCGGTGTTTGAAGAGTTGCAGATAGAACCAATGGTTGAGATGAAAATTGCAAATCACCAATAATGTCTTTCTTGTTCTTTGTAACTTCCAGATGACATTTAAAGTCAGAAAGTTGGCCGTTGTGCGTATAGGAGGCTCTCATCTTTTCATATCCGTCATGAGGTGTGTTGACAGTAAGCTCTGTTGATAAAGTTGGATCAACGTTTGATTTTACATTAGCACCCCAAACATTTTTTCCAATTTTAAATTCGGCCTGACATTTGAAGTTGCGTAAATTTCCTTCATGTGATACAAAAGCTGACATTTTTCTGATGCTCTTGAAAGGTGTGGATATTGAAATGTCTGTCTTCAGATTTTTGATAAAGTTGAATGTCAGGTCTCCTTCAATTTCCTCCTTCTTTCCCCATCCAATCTTTGCTTTTGTCTTGAAGCTTGTACTTTTGCCTTTGTGTACCAAGAGAACTGTGATATCATCCATGATGGGAGATACAACTTTTAATGTTCCTTTCATTCTTTTGGAATTTGTCATTTCTATGTCTACATTGATTGGCTTATTCTTCCCGTATTTTAACAAAATGTTAGAATTAATGCTTTTTCTATTTCCACTATGAGAGAAGGAAGCAAAGGTATCTTCAACCAGAGACGACTTCATAGTGAATGAACCTTGGAGGCTTTTTCCATTATGGAAACTGATATCCAGTTGATGTTTGCCATTTCTGTCATACTGCAAGGAAGCCCCAGATAAAAATTGATTCCATGTTCCTTTGTGGCTCAAAGAAGCGGTTACTGGATGGTAATTAGGAAGACGTATTGTGACTGAAGAGTGGTAGTTTTCTCTGTATTCAACAACAAGCTCAGCATAGTAGGATTTCCCCTCTGGATACTCCATTTCGACTTCCGTTATGCATCCTTTAACGGTTGGGTCATGTGTTATACTGGCTGTTAAACGTTGTAATTTTTCAAAAGGAGTTGCAATACTGACATCAGCACTTAGCTTTTGTCCATCTAAAAGAGTTCTGGATGTCAATGATACGATCTTTCCTGGTAAGTACTCAACCTTGATATCGGTTCTCGATTTGTCATTCTCAGGGCGGTTTGAGAATGTTATTTCACTGGATGGAAGTTGTTGGTATTGGGTTTCGAGTCTTACATTACCGGACACACCCCCAATTCTGTTGAATGTAGACAAGAGTCGAATTCTTCTTACAATTGGTTGTAGTTCAAAGCTGACAGAGGAGGTCATTGACTTCATGTTTCCTTCAAATTCCATCTCTGTTCTAAGTCTTCTAAATGATTTAAATGGAGTAGATAATGTGATCAAAACATATTTCTGGGATCCTGTTTTCAATCGTCCTTCTAGTGCAACCATTTGTTCACCTTTAAGTAGGAGGTTCCCAGTAGCAATGAGTTCCCCATTTTCAGTTTTAAGATGACCTTCACTTGTAAATAGGTTTTTGCTATTTTGGCTCATCGAGAGAATGGTGTCCATGGAACTGTCTTTATGTAAATGACTAACCATAAGTTGTCCCTTTCCAAATGGAGTTGCGGAGGTCAATGTATACTGGATGGATGCTTCTTTCCATGCAAGATTATGTCTGCCCTTAATGTTAAAGGCATATTGCTGTCCATTCATGTTGGTTGTGATCACTGTTGTTACATCATTGAGTGTATTACTGTGTTGCCATGTAGAATCGTATCGGCTTGTTGGTGAAGATAGAGTTATTTTACCGCTCTGCTGAACCATAAGACCTGCTCTGTCATGTGTGAGTTTACCTTCATATCTGTATTCGTTTCCATTAATATTTAGAACAAGACTGTTTTCGTTAGTTTTATCCCGACTTTGGTGACTAAGATCTAAAGAAACGGCTTGGATGGATCGAATGTTAGATTTGACCCCAGCATGTCCTGAGTATATGTTGTTTTCCTTCTTTGCAGATGCATCAAACTGTAAAGAATTCTTGTTTACCTGAACATTTACAAAGGACTTCAGCGAGTCTTTTGCATCATGAGAAATTTCCAGGAACGATGTTTTGAATCCCTTTAATGGTGTCTTGAGGTTGAGAGATCCTTGGAATTGACGAATGCTAAATGGCTTTTTTAGTGAAAATGCAGCCGATATTTGGTTATCTGGTTTCCAGTTGACATCAAAGTTTGTTTTATATTGACGGGGTTCTGACAAATGGTTCATTCCAAGTTTAACATAACTTAATCCTTTTACTGCAGTATGTACTGTTAAGCTTCCATCGATTTGGACTTGATCTTTACCATATTTTTGTTTTAAAGATGCATCAACAGATAGTTGTTCTTTTCCGTCGGATTTTATGTCACAATGTGCATTTTCGTTTTTGCGATTGATGTTGATCTTGTTATTTTGCAGTGGACTCTTGAATACAAGGACAGCATCAATTTCGTTCTTGGTTTTGTATGTCAGTTGAGTGTCAAGAAATATTTGTTTTTCCTTGTCTACATTAGCATCCCATTGAATGTCCAAATGTCCAACGTAGATTGGATCCTTCTTCTTTGCTTCGAATTCACCTTTGACTCTCCTTGAGGGCACAGATACATCACCAGAAAGTCGTAGAAGTGCTGCTTTTTTGTATTGAGAACCAAATTCTGCCGAATAGTCATTATTAAGTCGAGATTTGACACGGAAGTTTCTAGGATCCAGGTTGAGCAGTGCTTCTAGATGGATTGGCTTCTGCCCGGACATACTAATGTCAGTGCTGACGTCATACTCTTCATCAGAAAGTTTAAGATCACTTACAACTTTTGTTTTGTGTCCAGCAATATTTGAGATCAACTCATTTGTGTATCTTCTTTTGTTCTTCTGTTCGAAGTTGTTTGCAATTGAAAAGTCTTTATCATTCCATTTCAGGCTAACATCACCAGTTAAGGCTGTAAATTTTTTGGACTTATTCTTCACTACCAATGCAGCGGATACTGATTGCTTCTTGCCGTATGCTAACCCAAAGTTAGAAACAATACTCTTTGTGTTGTGAGAATGCTTTCCTTTCAGTTTAAGATCTAATCCCTGAAAGTAGCAATATGATTATAACATTATTTCCAAATATTCTCAGGTACAAAAATATTTCAAAATGTTGAAGCATTTGATTTTGAACAACTCAAACATTATCAGATTTTTGAAAAGTAGGAATCAGTCTTCTAGTATGCCAAGTGTTATGTGCCATCTTGATTATTTACTAATTTCAATCGAGTATTAATACATGTAAATAAAGGCAACAGTAGTATACCGCTGTTCGAAATTCATAAATCGATTGAGAAAAAAACAAATCCGGGTTACAAACTGAGGGAAACACATCAAATATAAGAGGAGAGCTGAGTAATTTGCGTTCAGAAATAACTTTTAATTATGGTACAATCTTGGCCTTGGAGGTCCTGCGCTTTCCCAATACATAACTATTTCCTTAATCACTATCACTGAAGGGTGATTCAGACTTGTTTATTTAAAGAAAATTGTACTTCAAAAGTGACAGGAGTCTGAAATTCAGTTGTTGTCGTTTGTTACTGTCTGTCATAATTGTTTTTTGTTTATTTGTTTTGTCTAGAATAAGGCAGATGGTTTTTTGTTTGAATTGTTTCACATTTTCTCATGTCAGGGGCTTAAATCCACTTCATTTGGACTCCGATGGATAGTTGTCTAATTGGCAATCGTACCATATCTCCTTATTTTATATTGATATAATATTTTGTATGTCATTGCCTCTTTGATTCCCAAAACTGACCAGCATTTAGCTTCGTGAATATATATTAACTTAAGTTAAAATTGTGACAATGCAAAGGAAAACTTAAGCATATAATCGTATTTTAGCTTATGGTTGTCTTACCAGAGCCAGATGTCGAATATCGCCAGTTATATCGATATCAGATTTCTTTAATCCCAGCTCGTGACGTACTAATGATGTAACAAAGATGCGCTTGTTTTCATCTTTTGGTTTTGCACCATATTTTAGGTCAAAGTTCACTTTTGTCAATCTCTGTTTGTTGTTCATGTCTGTGTTGATTACAACATTATAGTCATTGTTCTTCTTGAAAGCTAAAGATCTGTTAATATAACAATAGCATTATATATTGTTTTCCCTTCTAGTTCAATAATTGCATTCCTTGTATTTGATTCCGGGTACCACTGACGAGAAATTCTTTTCGAAACGCAGTTATGGTGCATAACATAAACTTATGTGTTTAGCAATCTTATATTAGAGACAATATTTATGGTTGAAATTAACATGCGATTTATTGTTTGCAGAATATTTCATGTATTAAATGATGATTTATGTAAATAAAATTGTCAAATGTAATAATTCTTGACGCTGGACATAAACATGATTGCAACTTTTGATTGAACTGTCAAGTATATCAATACGTTAAATGAATAACTCACAAAAATAAGGGACAGACTCTATATACCACATTAACCGAATATTCAGAAATATTAGAGAATTCACACTGGGATAATATCATTGACATGGAAGCTCAATTAAACGTATCACTATGAAAGGAAGTTACTTTTGTAACAGGCAAAACATGTTAAATTAATAGCACGTATATGTGTATACCTACCCTTTGCCAGCCAAAGCCCAGACACTCTTGGTGAAACCATAATTGACTTTACTGTTGACTGTTATTTTGTCCCTGCTAATTCTTGGGATAACGTAATCAAGATTAACTCTGGTGACTACAGCGGTTTTCTGCAGTACAATGTTTGAAGTTCCTTTTGCTCTAAGAAGTGGAGTTCTGATGTCAACTTTGGACTGATACCTGGCGTTTGATTTCCTTAAGGTTCTTGTTAGTTTGGCTAAAACAGTCATGAAAAAAATTATATTCAAATTACTATAAAGGGTAGCTACACTATCCATAGTAGTTCTTTGTTCGAGTTGTGTGATTCTTTTATTATAATAAACATACTCTTTTATTATATTGATTAAATATTTCAAGAAAAAATATGCTTGAGGTGTTTGAGACTGTATCATATTGATAAACAATGACTAAAATGAATTTTTCATACAACTTACTGAAGACTTTGATGGTTTTATCCAATAACCTGTCAATTGTAACGTCCACCAGAATAAGAGAGCCGCTTTTATATTCCAATGATCCTCCAAGGGCTGTGACTTCCTCCTTTGGTGTACGGATGGACAAATAAGGCATTAGCTTAGTGGCTTTCTTTGTTTGTGTATTCTGCAATCTGCTTTCAAAACTGTAATCCTTCCCAGGTTCAAAGGAGATGGATGTTTTTATGGAAGACATTGATTTCTTGGAAATCAGGTTTACTGAAAATAACATGTAAATGTTTACTAATATAATGTTGAAAAATAACATTGAAAGTACTAGTAGTATTCCATGTTATATTGATCCCGTTTTATTTTCCATAAGTGACAGATGGGATATCTACTTTGAACCGAGCTCGGACAATGACAAACAAAAACCTCACCCAAACTCTAAACATCATCATGTATCTAACTATTATCAAACCATTTTGAATGGTTTTCTTTTAAAGTTTTGGATATTGCATTTACTTAAATTTTACAGCAGTTGATGTATTATTGTACACAGCATGTTTTGTAAGCATATTTGAACCGATGACATTCGGTTTGGTTTGATTATTCATAAATTTGATTTCCTCCCTGTAACCCATACTATCGTTATTATAATGTTTGAGCACATTAAATATTTAGGGTAAACCCATAACATACCTTTTGACTGAATGGGTTGCTTAGATAGTCCTTTTACGGTCAATTCGCCATTGAAACTTTTGCCGATGACATACTCTAAAGAACTGCTAAGTCTTATATTTTCCATATTTGGTATGATTATTTCAATGTATGGATTGTAAGTATAAAGCTGTCCTTCCCTTTTTCTGATCCATTCCCCAGTCACAGAGTATTCATCTTTGTCGTCGATTACAATTCTTCCCGCCACTTGCTTTTGTTTGTTTTCACCAACCAAGGCTCCTAAACATTTCAATCTTATTTACTATTTGATTATTCTGTAAATTTTCATATGGTTTGTGAAATAAATTGATTACATCTCAAAATAATTCGTCAACATTGATATCAATTCATAGAAAAGCAGACACATATTCCTTTTATCATGGTTCACGATTTATACGTACCGTATAAAAGTATGAAACTTGTAGTTTGTATTATAGGATTGAATGCTGTATTTTTATACGCCCGTCAATTTTTGACGGGACGTATTATGGTATACAAATGTCCGGTGTCCGTCCGTCTGTCTGTCCGTCTGTCCGGCGTAAACATGTCGCACCGTAACTTGAGAATTACTTATCCAAATTTCATGAAACTTAACATAGTTGTTTCTTATGATGGTCAAACGATCTGTATACTTTTTGGTGAAAATAAGATTAAAACTTTGAGTTACGGGATTTAGTAACTAAAACAGGTGTGTGTTTTTTTTCACATATCGCGCCGTATCTCAAAAACAATTTATGATTATTGCTTAAAACTTTACACACTTCTTAGTTATATTAATCTTAAGATCTGTATACTTTTTGGTGATGATTCAAAATTTTATTTTAGAGATATTGAGTATTTTGTTAAAAAAGGGGGAGGGGTTTTTCAAATGTAGCGCCGTATCTCAAAAACAGTTTATGATTATTGCTTAAAACTTTACACACTTCTTAGTTATATTTACCTTAAGATCTGTATACTTTTTGGTGATGATTCAAAATGTTATTTTTGAGTTATTGAGTATTTTGTAAAAAAAAGGGGGAGGGGTTTTTCACATTCGCGCCGTATCTCAAAAACGATTTATGATTATTGCTTAAAATTTTACACACTTCCTAGTTATATTAATCTAAAGATCTGTATACTTTTTGGTTTTTATTCAAAATTTTATTTTTGAGATATTGATTTTTTTTTAAAAGGGGGGTTTTCACATGTCGCGCCGTATCTCAAAAACGATTTATGATTATTGCTTAAAATTTTACACACTTCTTAGTTATATTAATCTAAACATCTGTATACGTTTTGCTTTTGATTCAAAATTTTATTTTAGAGATATTGAGTTTTTTGTAAAAAAAAGGGGGTTTTCGCATGTCACACCGTATGTCAGAAACTATTTATGCTTATTGCATAAAAATTCACACAAGACGACGGGCGTATCATGCGCTCATGGCGCAGCTGTTTATTAATTTATACGAAATGAAAGCCAGTTACGACCACATTTAACTAAACGTAACTTGCTATCATTTCCTATATATATCTTTAAAAAAGACCACAGTAATCAGTCCTTATATTTACAGATCTTCAAAATAAAATTAATATCTTTTTGGCATTTTAAATCTGAAGGTAAACTTTAAACACAAAACTTCGACAGAAATTTAAATGATTTATGTCTTTCATTTACCTCTGATTGAAACTCTCTTCCATGGTGAGATCATGCTGATTTCGAGCAGAGGGTCAGATCGAAGAAGACAATCAAAACTCAATTCACGGTCTACCGTAGAGCCTGGAGTGCTGAAGGCTACTCTAGCTCTGGCTTCTTGTTTATCCTGAAACAAAAGAAGAAGGTTTGCAAACTCATTTTAATAGCTTTGCAATTGTTTCTTTGAAGTCACTAATAAAAGCGTCCGAAATACAACCATTCGTTGTTTTAGGCATATTATATTATACCAGACACTTATTCATTGATGAAAATTGTATAATTTTTTTTTATCTCTTTGTCTTTTGGTTGATTATTTTTTTTATCACTGTCTTATTATGTATAATCATCTCCTTCTATTCATTAACACAAGGAAAGAGCTCAATTTTCAAAAATTTACAGTCTTTCACTGATACATCGGGGTGTTAACTATATCATAAAACAGAATATTGATATGGCAGTACCTTTACAAATTTGTATTCCATGTTGTAACTTTCATGTGTGTCACGTTTTAGAAGAGTGATTCCAGCACTAACTGGTCCCGTCATTGGAAAGTATGGAGCATCGGCTATTAATGATGCGTTCGGATACTGAAGTTCAGCACAGAGTTCCAGTCCGGTAATCTTTGCAAGTTTGTTTCCAGAACACATTTTCTTTGTCTGTCTGTTAGCAGTAATCATTTTCTGTTCTCTCTCAACTTCACGGTGGACAGTGAAGAAAGCAGTCCTTTGATAATAGATACTTTTTTGTTAACTAGCTTTAAAATTATTGTATTTTGAGTTGTATTTCCGATTTCTAATCAAGACGAAACGCGCTCTACGTACCAAATTATTAGCTTGGTATCTTTGAAGAGTTTTTATATGCCCAGAATCACTTATTTGGAATTCCATAATGAACATCTTAAGGATAATTTGTTTAAACTACTTTTCATTGCTCTATATAAAAATTAAAAAAATAATAATAGAATTTTTTTCGAAATCATAAATTGTTGTAAAATATTAAAAATATTGCATACTTGACATTGAAAACTTCCATTTTGTCAAATGGTGTTTTAATCTGTGCACTTAGTACTTTTCCATTTGCCAGTTCTACGTGTCCTTCGAGAGAAGAGGAGGAATGCATAGTAGAAATCATTTTCATTCCACTTTTTGTTACAAATGCATCCACGCTCATCATACTGTTGATCTGGACAGCGCCACTGTGGACAAAATTGCGATATTAGAATTTAAAAATACAAATACACTAGCAATGGAAAATATCTTTCACTACGGCGGCAATAGAAATAAGGAGGCCAGAAGATTTGTATTGTAAACATCAGAAAACGTTGTCAAACAATGATTATAAAAAACACAAATACATAAACATAACAAAAACTATAAATAGAGTGAATTTTATTAGATTTTTGTGGTCATTTTCAATTTTTGTAACCGCTCTTAAATATTTTTTGGCTACAAGTGTTTACATTTATAACAACTGTTCCCTTAGGCAACAATTCCAACACCTATGCTCAGATGATAGTGTTCGCTACGTCTTTCTTCGTCACTAACATATTCCCTAATTAACCAAGTTAATGCTGCTATAGATATTTCCCATTTGACTCATCTTGCCTTTTACCTTGTTATTTACTTTGATTTCGTCTGCAGACAGTTTTGATATTTTGATATGCTAGTCGAACTTTACTAACCTTGGTTTCATATATCCATTCAAAGAAAGACTTGGGGATCTGTCGGTTATTTTTGTCAGATCCATTTTCCCAGAGGCACGTAAATCAACGGTAGCTGATCCATCAATGGTCAAATTTAATGGGAAGCCAGCCATTGTTGGAATTATGACGCTGCTATCCAAAAACACGTAGCTCTGTGTGAAGGAGTATTCTTGTTTCTTGGCAAGAGTCGTTAGAATGTCCAGAATATTGATTGGTTTACCATCAGTGACATCACTTAGTCCGGTGAACCTAGTAAACAGTAGCTCATTTCCAAAAACTCTCATATACAGATCTCCTTTCAATGAGTCAGATTCTGTGTCAAACTACAATAATAAATTCATTTTGTAAAGAAGGATTCTATTTTGTTTCAGTAATTAAGTAAAACAAACTTAAATCGAAACAAGCCATATATTACAAACCAAGCTTAAAAAGATTATAAATTTTGCACTATATTTTCTACCAAAAAAGTTCTTAAATTGGAATGTCAAAATGATATTAGAAATAAGATGACATTAAAGCTATAACACATTTTCAGACTGGATACTTAAGATATTGATGATTATAAAATTAACCTGTCTGTCAATGTCTTCCATTTTTTTATTACTGATTCCTTTTATTTTCTGTTTTGTGACTTCTTTGATCTCATCTTCTTGGAAGTATCCGTTAGGTCCAAAGTAAGATTCCAGAAAATATTCAAGGCCTTCCATTCGTCCACCGATTTCTAACAGGTTAACGGAATGTCCAAAAAGGTCGAATGTTATGTTAGTCATGGCAGATCTTGGTAAGAAAGATTTTGAAGACCAGACAACATTGCTGTCAATGGAAGCTCCGGTATTTAGTTTCTCAAGGAAGAAGGAGCCTTCATAGTTTCTGGAATATTTCAGTTTTTCTAGATCGAATTCTTTCTTCAGCGCCTTGTCGTTGATGATATTCTTTATTTCCTGTTTCAGTGGGCTAGAAGTCTCCATCAAGTTTGTTAAATGAGACCATACATAAGAACCAACTTGGTTGACCTCTTCTGATTCAAGAAGAAATCTAACACGAGACAGGACAATGTCTGAAGGACATGTCATAAGAGCCTGGTATGAAGCAATTCTCAATTCGGAATCCTCGTCTCTGTTCCTGTAGATTGCCATGACGTCCTCTCGCTGGAAAGGAATATATAATTTATATAAATAGTCATTATTATTGATATTGAAGTACACAATGTATGATGTTATACAATAAGATAAAGTTTGCATAACTATTTGTAGGGCTGTTATCATAGGCAACTTAATGATTCATTTGCACTAAAAAATAATAATTATTTTTTAAGCAGACTGAATATGTACATTTTTCAATATTACTGGTTGAAAACTTACGCTTATTGAGCATGGCATACGACGGAAGGCTTGTATAGCAGAAAGGCGGACTTCTGTGGGATTGTCTCTCTTGATCATACAGTTTGTGATTGTTCTGATGGCATTATTAACGAATCCAGCATTTCCAAGTGATCTAAGACTAAGGATCACCTAAAATAAAGTTTAAAATTGAATCTTAAACGGTACTCTAACTTTCTTTAACCAAAAACAACACTTCATTTTATACTTCTGATTTTATAAACTACAGCATCTTTAATTCTCAAGTCAGATTAAACTTAAATATTTTATAAACTTATAATTTTAAATCCTCAACATTAGTAGTTTGGTTTTTTATATCAGTATTTGAAATATTTGCTTTTAACTCCCAGAAATATTTTTCCCTATAGATAAATTATAAATATTAAATAAGGTCAGATGTCACTATATCTTTGCACATACCTTGCCAAGATTGTTTTTGTCCACATAACACCCAACACCAATCTTGTCTTCTATAGAGGAGACAATACTGGCGATGTCTATATCATTTTCACATTCATTTTTCTTGCAGTAGGCATTAACCAGTGAAGATACACCCAGCATAGCCTCTTCATTGTCCTCTGATGATATGAGTGGCTGTTAATAAAAAACAAAATTAAAGAGAGTAAAACCCTATTATTACCAAAACCATTTTGAGCATAGTGGGATATGTTCTTGAGACAAAGTTTCTGATTTTAAATTTATGTGCATAAAAATTTGACCTTCAATAATTGTGCTCTTGATCACAAGATTATATTACGGGGCTCCGTTTGGGCAAAATATTTGTTTTTAAAATTCCTCTATATTCAAAGCTTAATTAAACGCAAGTAAACTATACATTAAATGTATTAAAAACTAATTCCCGGCTTGTATTGGTGAAAAGTTTCAGCTATTCATATGTCACATCTGAAGTAACTAATATGTTTAAAACATTAGACCTACTTTGACTTCATTCAGCATTCCTTTTGTTGGATCTTTGATGAACGATAATGTCGTTAGCCACATATTTGCTTCGATTCCACGAACTTCTTTTTTGTTGATCAAGTTAGTAATCAATCTCAGTGAAGCTTTTGTTCCAAGCATTGGAATGGCATCAAGGAAGAATTTTCTACAAAGAAAGTATTTGTTTTCATCAATACCAATAAAAATTCATCATTTCAAAATTTATTGAGATTGTAAGTGCTTCAGATACAAGCTAGAACTTAAGAGCAAGCGTTTCAATTGTTTGTATGCCCCACCTAGGGGCATTATGATTTTCGGTCTGTGCGTCCGTCTGTCCCGCTTCAGGTTAAAGTTTTTGGTCGAGGTAGTATTTGATGAAGTTGAAGTCCAATCAACTTGAAACTTAGTACACATGTTCCCTATGATATGATCTGTCTAATTTTAATGCCAAATAAAAAGTTTTGACCCCAATTTCACGGTCCACTGAACATAAAAAATGATAGTGCGAGTGGGGCTTCTGTGTACTATGGACACATTCTTGTTAATATTTGAGAAGTACATCTTTATGCCACTTACTCAACTCTCTTTTGATTAGATGCACAGAATCTGGTTCCTTTCACTTTTCTGTAAATCTGTTCCAGTTCATCACTTTCTAAAGCCTTCATTAGTCTTACAAGTCCAGAGAACAATTGTGGAGTATCCGGTTTCACACTGTCGGAGGTAGATATGCAGATTTCATTCAGTTTACTGATGACATCCGTAATGGTACCCCTACCATCGTTAGAATGAACAAACGTCAATGGAACGCGGTGCCCAATGGAAACTGTAATATGAGTACACCTATTTTATAAGAACCTTAGATATATTTCCATTGAAATACATTGTAAGAACTGTTTACAAATTTTGTATTAAAAGAAAGTTTGATTTTAATAGTTTGATGAGATAAATATTTATCAAAATTTCCTATTTTTAAATAGAGTCGATCATCAAAAAAATATTTCATTGATATGTTTTCTTACTTGAGCTAGAAGATGATGTTCTTTCTGTTACATATGTTAATGTCTGTTTGGTCTTTGTCATAGCACCACTGGATTCCCTTGAGAATGGTCGGAGAACATGTTCTTCTTCACATACACTGTTCTGTAGTATGCCAGCCTTGCTGATGTCTTGTGAACACTCATGGGTACCTTTTATCAGTGGCAGAGACTGAATTTCCTAGAAAAGTATATCAACAGAGCTGTCTAATCGTCAGTTATAAAACGTTGCATATTGTTTACAGTTTAAAAATTATTTTATGAGTGAATGGAAGACCTATCTATTCCTAGTCACATTTTTATTCTTGCTTAAAAGACACACTTTTTCAGTGTTATTAAAATAATCCCGCCGATCATTCACATCAACCCTCCAAGCAGAAACAGATGAAAAAATATATTCAATTTCATTTTCTTATCAAAATAGACTATAGAAAAAGAAGTATTGGTAGTAAGATAAAAAAAAAACTTATAACTTACAGATTGGACTCTGTATGGTGTTCCCTGCATCATTGTATTGTATCCATGTCTGTCTGTACATCCAAGCAAGTCTTTGCTCTTCTTGATTGTTCTTGAGTACCAGCCGTTGTTAGATACAGTATAGGCTGCTTTGCATTCCCCAGTAATGTCAGTCTATTAAACAAAACAAAACTAAGTTAATATAGTAAAAGTGCTGTTTATATACTCTTTTTTCTTTGTGTCTATTAAGATTAATAAACCTCTGATATAATAATCATTTAGCTCTAAACATAAATTTATCTTTGTTTTGTTATTTGAGTGAACCTATGATATAATTCTGTTTACCTCCTGGACTGTTTGATCCTGTGTCAGGTCATCCATTGAGTTTTGAACTGCTGAGAGGATACCACGTTTAATGTTTAGTACCCATGTTTTCTCAGGTATGGATGTACAAAGTTCTTCAATTCGACCATCTTGGAAGGAGAATGCCAAAGGTGATTTCTCAAGGTTAGTTCTAAACTCTCCGCTTTTGTCGGCATCTATCCTTGTTTCAGGCGCTTTTGGGTCTGATTCCAATAGTCTGACGTTGCTGAGCTATAAATTTGAGAAAAGAAATTTTCATTTTCCATCGAAAACCAGAAATTAACTGCAGCTCAGTGGTTGGTTATTAGGTACTGACATGATTTATGATAATATTTTTTTTAAATTCTCCGTTGATCAATTCAGAAATTATTAAGAAACTACGGCCCACAACTCCCTAAGGCAAAGTTAGATTGAACAATGTTTAATTTTTCAAAACAGCACAAAAGACAAATAAACAATAGAAATATAGGAATTCGGAAACGAGAAAAACTTATAGAAATCCGTCTCCTTAACTCAGGCAAAGTTGACATTAGATGAATTAGGCTATTCGTTTCAAAGGGTCAATAGCTACGAGATACGAAAAAAATTAGAATATGATTTTGTTTGGTTCAATCATTAATAAAAGTGAAATAATGAAATAATAATTTGCTTTTAGCAGCCAATTTGGTCCAATTTTGTCAAAGTAAGCAAAGAAACATAGCTGTTGAATTATTCACTTGCAAGTGAATAATTCAACCTCATTGAATCCGTATTCATGTGACCTTCAATTTAACCCATTAGCTAGAGATTGGTCACGCATGTTTTAGTCGTATTTAGCCATTAAAAGGAAAAATAATGTCAACATTGAAAGTGAAACAAAGGTGAACCATTTCGTTGGCTGATTCGATCCACAAAAAATCATTCTTATACAGGTAAAAACGATAATTAACTTATTTTTTAAACCCATTACATGAAATCAAACAGACATAGAAAAATTCAATTGCACGAGGTCGCTTTCTATTTATATTTATGTTTATGTTTATATCGGGTTATGTGACCGTCGACAGTCTTCGGAGGTCATCTCGATAGTTAATTAGATGGCGTCTAGACTAAAATACACACGAAATTCTGATAAATATTATCGAGTAAATGCATGGTTAACTATTTATTTCAGACTTATTTCAATTTGGATATAAGTTTAAGTATGTTATAAATTAAATATGAGAATTTGAGTCAACCGGTGAACATGATTTTGACACCTAATGCCTCTCTAAGTTTATTTTAGTCATAAGGCTCCTCGCGCATTTTAGGTGAATAAATACATGGATATCTTTCTATCTTGGCAATTAAATATTGTAATTTTTGGAGCGGAAAAAATCAATTCTCATTACACGAATAACTTCAAGTATTTACCCGAAGATTCATTTCACATTTTGAGACGACATCGATGTGAACTTTAGCAATCAACTGAACTCCGGCTTTTTCCTCGGATGCTCCTTGTACTGTTGTGTCGACTTCGGTTGTGTAGTCATATTCGTAGGTTTTCCCGGTTTCGTATCCAAATTTCTTTGTTTCTGCAATGTATGTATGTATGATATGCTAAAAATATTTTTTCTAAATCTGCATAATCTAAAATTCAAACATGAAATAGTATAGGATTAGCAAAAATAGAGATAGAGGTTGTCTTATATTAAAAAAAAAGAGTTAATTTTTAAATTACTTGAACCTAATGATGGAAAAATTATTTTTATTTATACGAGCTCACTTCATGCTATCCTAAGTTTTGCTTAAACTTGATTTGTATGTTCTTAGTGGATTTATGAGAAAAATGTATAACAAAATACGCCTAACTCCAAGGTAAATTCAAAAAGGGGATATCCATAAAAAATGTCAAAATCAAACGTTATATAAACAAGCATTCTGAGAGTTTTGCATGGCAATAAATAGTCCCCTACCGGGTAAAAATTCATTTTACTGGAACAAAATGCTTACTTGTTCTATAACTTGTCATGGTGTAAACAAAAAGAAAATATCAAGTCAATATCTTCAAGCATGACTAAAAACAGTGTGGAAAACTGAATATATGAGTGAATTTTTTCAAGTCCAAGGACCATAACTCTGCACAAAATTATCAGACCGAAACAAAAATTTGAACTTGATCTGTAACTTGTTATGATAAAACTATAGACCAATTGTCAATCAATATCTTCAAGCATGATGAAAAAAAGTGTGGAAAACCTATAACACTCTAACATTAGATATGATTAATAGTTCTCTAAAATTAGATATGATGTAATACAATGTATACCTATTTTAAAATTACAATCAAATATAATTAATAGTTCCAAATATTTTTTCTTTCATTTGTCACAAACTAATATAGATTTGTAACTTATCTACAAAATGTCAACAACTTTTATCTACACAATGTAATGTAATGAAATATACACCTTAATAAAAATAGATTATTATCTAATTAAAGGATTTCACTTAATAAAATATATATATATATATATACATGTAGCATTCAGATAATTAGTTTATACAAAATAACATATAAACCTGCCACAAAAATCCTCAATCAATTTACCAAACAATGTCTTTTAAAAAATGAGTTATCTCCCTTTGTACAGATATATGGTTTAACATAGTACTCTAACATTAGTTATGGAGTTTTTTTATGGACCATAAATCTGGACTAAATCATCAGACCGGAACAAAATTCGAACTTGATCTATAACTTGTCATGATAAAACTATATACCAAATATCAAATCAATATCTTCAAGAACGAAGAAAAAAAGTGTGGAAAACTGAGTTGCCGGACTGACGAATGGACAGAAGGACAGACGGACAGAGTGCAAACCTAAAGTCCTCTTCGAATTCGTCGGTAGGGGACTAAAAAGGAACGAGTGAAAAACAACTATCATATTCCTGGCTTGGTACAAGCATTTTCCGAAGATAAAGAAGATTTGAACCTCGGTACACTACTTTTGTCTCTAATTTTACGCCTAATTAAATGAAATTATCTTACCTGTACAACGTGTTGAACATGATCCTGTGCTAATAATTGGTCCTGAAAATAGAAAAAAAATGGTTCAATGGTTTTGAAAATTTAAAATATCTACTCCATTGAACAATTATGAGAAACACCAACCGGATACTAATTGAAATGTTAACAATTGATGAGCATGTGCTAATAATATAAAATTACTTTAGCATACTTTAAAACTTAAAGTTTAGCTGATTTAACGACAAAATTCATTGAAATACACCAAAACATTATATGTGTTTGGTCAGCTTGCATTTTTCGGGCTGCTGTCTAATCCAGGTGTTAATTCAAAATCTCCATTTCTTCTTCTTGAAAGAAAAGAATTCAAAAAGGGGAAGTCCGTAAAAACTGACAAAATCAAAAGTTATCAACCAACGGGACAAATGGAAAACAACTATTATATTCCTGAATTGGTACAGGCATTTTCTGAAGAAAATGGTGGGTTAAAGCTGGTTTTATAGCTATCTTAACCTCCAACTTTTATGGCAGTTGTTTACAGTCCCGTTATAATGAGAGAAAAAATGGGTGAGCATCCCAAACAGACATAATAGATTAATGTGACAATGTTGGGATCCAGCAGCCAAAACTGTGTATACAAACACAACTGACTCAAATCTTCAATAAACATAAAAAGACGCCAAAATAAAGTTGTAGTTGATAGTAATTTTGACAAAGACGACAAGAAAAAAGTTTTTGTAGATGATAATAAATTGACAAAAACGCCGATAAAAAGGTTTTGTAGTTGATAATACATATCGTGTATAGTATACACGTTCTCGATAAAGTATATATTAAGTAAACTATAAATACAAGAGTAGGCAAAATGGAAAAAAAAACATTGTAAAAACCTCTTGCGTCCAAATTGCACATAAATGAGATTACACGAATACAGTATCTTAAATAATCTAGCAAATTAATGACGTGCAAAATTGCTTGGAATCCTTTATTCAACTCTGCGAAAGTTCGTGCCGTCGAAAATTTGATAGTAAATTCACAAATCAATAACATAATAAATCAATTATAATAAAGGGCCTAAGAAAAAAATTAACCGATCAAAACTAAAAAGAAACAAATTAATGGATCAAAACTAAAGGCTTCTGGACACAAGACTGGTGGGGAGGAACATTAACGTGACAATAAAATAATTGCAAGAAATAAATCTATCACAGAAAAATTAAATTCAATACAAAAAAAAAAATGAAAAATGTTTTTCATATTTGAAATATACCACTGTTTAATAACAAATTTATAAAAAGTAAGTTATATATTTCTTTTTTATAAAAAAAATAAAATTGTCTGCAAAATTAAAAAAGAAAAATAACTGTC